GTTGGAACCTCATTCGGGTTTGAGCGAATAGAGTTAGTTGAGTTGCGCTTGTTTTTCTTTTTACAGTTTCCAATTAGCTCGTTAATTCCTTTCCAAGTTTGACGCATATTACATATGTTGAGATCAAAGAAACTTTGGTAGTAATTCGCTTTACTTAATGTCGTAAGATAGATGATTTTATTTCTGTAAAATTTGTATTTGTCCCGGTCTGAGGTATAGAAGAGGTTATTCTTTACCCTGATTGATTTTCTTAAACCCGCAGTCAGCCATGGTTTAGCAGGGAATTTTTGTTTACGATTGGATATACTTCTTAAAGGGGCGTGTTTGTTAATTGTCTTGTTGACGCATTTGTAAAACCTGGAGAACGATTGATTGGCATCGGTATGTTTGCAAATATTATTCCAATTAATATTCTGCAAGTCGTCAATGAAAGATTTTGCATTGAAAGTAGAATAGTCACGAACCTTAGTTTTGTTGTTTGGAAAAAATGGTTTACATTGCGACGTTAATATGCACATCTGAGAGAAGTGATCTGTTGTATCGGACACGATATTGCCGCTGACCGAAATACTTCTCACAAGCAGTATCTGTAGAAATGTATCACGAACTGAATTGCCCCAAAGTTACTGAACAATTTTCAATCATTAGCGCATCTCGGGATATCAATTTCCTTCAAATCTAAATTTTCCCAGAGAAGCATTCCTATTTCCCAAGCTCACAGAGCGACCTCCAAGACCTAATGCAATAAAAACAGTACTGGAAACTCGATCCAACCAGCCTTCTCCACTACAAGGGGTGGTATATGAAGCAGTCGAAAGACATCACTGAAACTATAAGCTAAACCCTTTATACCCATAAAAATGTTACGCGCTCTCCCTCTTTGTTGTCCTGTATTTTGTTTGGCTGTTTTCTTTTTTTTTTTTCTTTGGAATGCGCAGTATCATAACTAACATGTTGTATGGATAAGGCTAAGGCCGACAAGGAGGAAGAAAGGTAAGAACAATGACTGCGGCGAAAAGCCAAGAAAGTAAAACTTGTGTAGTAGGAGGCAGAAAAAAATATATTAAATTGTTGTATATAGAACAAGGGTCAAACACAAGAAGAAAGACTGACTTATAAAATTCAGACATATCACGCTATTCTGCTACTTAGAGCCCAAAAAAATCTGTCATTGTTTGAACATTGTACAATGTCTACAATTACCACATGATTGTGACAAGGAAAATAGACGGTGCGCAGATAACCCACCCGTATCACATTTTCTCAAAGGGTAATAGCCATTAGTTCTCAATTGAGAACATGCCGTCTGTAGTGAGAGGTGGTGACTTACTGTTTTAATGCTCCATAAAAATTAATTATATTACGTGTTAAAGGTAATTTCATCCGTAAATTGCTTAATTGTATAGCATAATTGTGTATGTACATCAATTACGAATTTGCGGTATTTAGCGACCCTTACAACGTATGTTAAAAACATTTTGTGTACCCAGAACTTTATAAAGATCACTGCAACTATATTGAATGGTTAGCCAATTCGTTTGTTAAGTCCATTTGGCTGCATGGAATTCAGTTTCTTTCGCCAGAATATCTCCCGGTGTCTCAGGAGATCTTTTTTCTGTTCATTGCTTATATTATCTTTCCTGATCTGTTCTATTATTGTAATGATCACGTTATTGTCGAAGTTGTGTGTTCGTTTATTATGTAGAAAGTGTTCCGTAAGTTCACAACTGCTGATTCCCTTTTTGATATGATTTCTGTGGTTGTTTAAGCGAAGATTGAACGGTGTTTCGCTCTTGCCTATGTACTGTAGATTGCAGATGTTACACTCAATAATGTAAATAACCCATGATGACTGGCAGTTAACAGAGTGAA